AGGTCAGGCTGACGGGCCTGAGGCTCCCCAGATCGTCCTTCTGGCCCTTCTCGTAGATGGGCGTCACATTGGCAAGCCTCCAGTCGTCTGGGACCTCCCCTGTTGACCAGGACTTCTGATAAATGATAGGGAGTGGTTTGGCCAGCTCTTCCACCAGCTCCCTCTGTACTCTCGGGTGGATCCCATCCGGCCCCATAGACTTGTGGATGTCCAGGTGGCAAAGCAGGTCTTTAACTGCTTCCTCCTGAATTACAGGGGGTTTATTCTGCTCTTGGTCCCTGGCTTCTATCTCAGGGGGCTGACTACATTGCAGATTGCTTGTCTGACTATTAAAGTCTGAAGCAAAGGCGGCATTAAGTACTTCAGCCTTTCCCTCATCCTTGGTGACAAGATACTTCTTTTTGTGTGCACGTGTGTATATGTATATGTGTGTGTATATATTTATATATATGCCTTGATATGTCAAGCATAGACCCAAGAGAATTTCTCCACATAGACCTCTCTAAAGCTCTGCTGCTGTCCTTATTGCTTCTGACTAGTGATGTTTACAGACCACATGATGTCAACACATTAAACCCAGAGATGCTAGGTAATTTTTGGCTTGTCTGCTGCTTCTGAGTACTACAGTTGAAAAAAAGAGTAAAGTAAGAGAAGTGGAAGCAAAGGTACCATTCCTCATTCAGGGGGAAGAAAAAAAAACACAAACTAAAGGAAGGCACTACATCAAGGAGCCAAATCTCAAGAAACATTAGTCGGCAAGCACTTCTTTCCCATGTTACACCATTACACTGCAGGATGACTATGGGTGAGCCCTGTCCCTTCATTTCCCTTGCTGCAAAAGGCAGTAAGTAATATGGATTTCCACGTGAGTGTTTTGGACCCATTGGCAAAGAGCACTAGGTAGCAACAGTATTTCCAAGCTTTCCAGAGTTGTGCAGTGCTACAGCTTCAGCTGTAGATGAAGACTGATCTGTGACTCAGAAGCAGATGAAGCCACAACCATACATTAACTGAAACCAATCCCCGAGGTCTGGCTTCACACATGGTACATCTAACATACCCGCCATTGGAACAATGGAATATTTGGCACCTAGTTCTCAACAACACCTTTGAGAACACAAAAAGGTGAAGAGTTCAAGAGAACCAGAACATACCACTGTGCTATTTTCTTACTTCTCCAAGGAAGCAGCTCCTTTTTGGGTAGAGCAGTCAGGACAATGCTTACTGTTGTGCAAGCTACTGTGTGATGTACAGATGAATATAAATCAAACCTGTCACAGAAACTAAGGACTGCCTTTCCTGAAGGAGAGGATAAAACCCATAGATGTATTTCCAGCAGCATGTTTGTCTACATGTTCAATTTTCAAAGCTGTTGTCTCACCAAATGTTACTCACTAGTCAGGTTCAATCTGCATCATAAAAAGGACTACTCAAACTAGGACAAGACCTCGTTTACTCTAGCAAAACAGAGTTTTCAAGTCAAGAAGCAAAGTACTACACAGTCATCAAGAGGGAAACTCCTGGGGATAGCAAATAATGCAGGCACCTAACACAACACGATTTATTTCTGGTGATCAGCAGCAGCCTAATGAAGTGGACAAGCAACACTTGAAAAGAAAAGGAAAGAAAAGGAAAAAAAAAAATCACTTCCAAAACCCAGCTTCCTAGCGTTTTTGCCACATTTCTTCCTGTGTGTTTTACTGCTCACAGTCTGAATTTCTCTCCCCTCCCCTTTTTTTTTTTTTCTTTTATTTCCACAGTACAGGGGAAATAGTAGATTCATTCCCTCTGTTCTACCTTACCTACACCTCCTGAGGAAGGTTTTAAAGGGCGGAATGCAGAGAAGAGGTCTAGGCTAGGAAAGCAGCCAACAGTGGTAATAAACACCTTCTTCTCCCTCTATTTAACAGAGCATCAGGTGATATTTTCAAATTGAAATACAGGAAAACCGTACTTAATGGCCACCACTATGGAAAACAGTAGCAAATTGATTCCTTAAAGGAAATTAAGTGCACATGGATTAAAACTTTCTAAACCACTTCACAAACATTTCATCAAAAGTTTATTTTTTCCTGAAATGAGCATTTAGCTACCACTGCTATTACAGCTGGGAGCATATAATGCTAGCTCTTGATGTCAGGCTCAGAAATTAGGATTGTTGAGATCACAGATGAAAGAATGACAGCAGTTTTCCTTGCTGCATGGGGTAAATCTATTTGTTGAGATTTTTGCCACTTCATAGAATTCTGCCACTGAGCACAAGAAAGATTTGAAACAGCAATACAGGCAAAAACTGAGCTGCCCATCAGCAAAGCTGACTTTCCTCTTGGCATACAGGTCATAGCACAGGCTCTACCACAATACAACAAAAGAAAATGCACTTAGGTTTTGAAAATAATTTTTTTCCTAACATCAGCATCAGCAGCCTTTTCTTCATCTTCCTGAATCTTGAAAAGCAATGAAAAAAGAAGAGAAAAAAAAAAGATACATGGATTATATCAGAACAGAAACAGTGATGTGGGGGAGAAAAAAACCTTATTCCTGTAAAATTTGCTATCTCAAATACATCTGAGTATTCAACAAAGCACGAGTACAGAACTCTTATTTGCATGTCCGCAATGTATTAGATATTGGACATTTAGTACCAAAGGTACTGTCCCACATTTATACGCCACGTAAAATGATCCAATGTCAACAGCACTCAGACCTATCTGTCTGTCTTCAGAGTTGTGAAACCACCAGCCATGCCCACCCACATCCAGCCCACGTGAGCACAGGATGTCACCTTTTCTTTCCTTCTCCATGCTATTCTGTGCTTCAAAACATTGGCTTCTGCACCTTACGACAAATTTATTTGCAAAGTCATCAGGCACGGCTGTCCCCTCACACTTATTGTAGTGCCAGGTGTCACAGGGCTCTCCTTATGACTGCAATCTTCGAGAACCAGTATGATGCAAATAACCTAGTAACAGTGCGTAGGAATGAGTAATACTCAGTCTCTCAGTGCTCTTACCTCTTTACCACCCATGGCTTCAAACATCTTCTCTAGCTGCACCCTCAGTTGTTGGATGTTATTCATCAGGATGCAGGGCTGAAGGGACAAAAGCAGGTGTCTGTTACTACTCAGGATGCCAACACATTTTCACCAGTGGTACAGTCTGTGCCTCAACACCCTTCCCCACGTACCACCACACCTGAGAGTCAAATAGGAGGTAGGGTATGCACAGACTTCAGCACTCAGATGTAAAAAAGACAAGTAATTTTTTCTCCAGCTTGAAATGGTATGGCCAGTTCCAGAAACCCCAGATCAGGAGATCTCTGCTGCTGTATTTTCCTCCTCAGTTTTATCACAAACAGAATGAGCTGACAAGAAATCAGTGTTGGGACAAGGTCCAAATCTCTGCAGTTCCTGCCATGCGTTGCAAGAGTCCAAGCTGTGTCACTTTCAGCCTCTCAATGCTGCAACATACTATTGTGAATGGTGTACATCCCAGATCAGAAAGGTAACTGTTAGCCAAAGTAGCATTTAGAGACACATCTGGGTCCCGCCAGGCCAAGCCTGAGAGCCATAGTCAAGGGCAGCCTGAGGAACAGACTCTTCCCTCTGCAGTTACCTCCCCAGCACAGGTGTTGGAGATAGCAAAACCAGCATGCAACAGACCTAGGTTCAAATATGTAACACCTTATTTTATTTAATACACAGAATTTCACTGAAATCAGGGTTAAACAGCAAGATAATTAGATGGAGACAACGGTAAACCAAGAGTTGTGCTAAGTACCAGACCTACAAAGCAATCTGTGCCCATTTTTCATTTTTGTATCACCTCTGTGACACACAGGCCAGACGGGCAGAGTGGAAGTTAATTTCAAGGGGACCTGACAGCCTCCAATCCCTGAAGTTCATCTTCAGGACCTAGTTTTATTTTATGGCCAAGCTAGAATTCAATCTGCAAAAGCACACAAATGATGATAAAAACAATAGTGAAAATATTTACACCATCAAAGTGGTCAGGTGCAATGGGAAAAACTTGGTTTCATCAGGACAATCATGTGATTCCTCAGGGCAGAAAAGAAGCTCAGCACGACTCACCAGTTTCTCCTTGGAACAGTAGGACTGGAAGCTCTTAGAGAGGATGTCAGCATACTGCATCAGCACTTTCCCAATAGTCTGCAAAGACAAGATGTGAGCACTGTTACTTGTCCTCCATGGCTGCAGGAGAACTCCAGGAAATAAATTGAAAAAACCATCATACTGTTTTGCACCCCGTTGAGGGAAGATAAACAGCTGTGTGTTGAGGCTATTACCTTAGCAAACCTCCTGTTATAATGAGCAACAATGACAGGGTCTGGGCACTCCAGCTTCTTAATGATCTCAAAGCTCTGATTGAGTTGGGTGAAGACGTCCACCACTGAGCAAGAGAACAGAGCGTGCTCGGATGTTTGCTGGAACTAAAACAGAAGCACAAAGAGTCATTCTCAAATGGAAAGATCTGAAATACACCCATTTCATGGGTGTATCCATCATCTGCTGTATTGAAGGGAGGAGAACTTTACCAAAACCTACGTCTTCCTCAGAATTAGTCAAAAGCACTCCAAAAGGCCCAGAGGAGCTAAATAGCTAATTCTGTTGGGTTATAAGTTTACTGTTCTTCACCAACCATGACATTAACAACCCCCAAGAAAATCTAGCATGATGCTGAGATCCTTAATGAAATGCATGGCTTGCCTGTCAGTTAATGAGGAGAGAGTGCTCTCTTTAGAGTTTCTTAAAATTCAGATGTTAAAGAGAATGCTTACATTAGCATCACAGACTATGGTGCCAACAGTCACTGAACAAATGGGAAGGCTCTTGCTCTCCATCGGGAATACTCAGCAAGAATAAGAATGCTCTGTCAGTGGATTAAGGTCACATTCTCACTGCCTAACTAAGTACATGCAAAGTGCCTTATATGTCAATTACCTCTCACAAACACAGAGAGATGAGAGAGCACCAAGCCACCAGCTGACAGATTAACAGCAGTAGAACTGACATAAAATGAATGATATACAC